TACATATCACAATCGAAAATCCCATGATCGTAAACTGAAGTGGACCTAATATAGCCCATGACGTCGAGTATTATGTTAAATTAAATAAAAAAGAAATTTTAACGACTACGGAATAGTTAGAAGCGGTGCACAAACAACCCTCATCACCCAGCGTTTGGTAAAGGATTGTAACATAACGTACTAGTGTACGAAATAGATAAATTTTATTAACTATTATTACTTTACTAAAAATAAGAAACGATCAATATATTAGTGTTTAATCAAAAAGCTGCAAAAGTTAAACGATTTTTAATTGTGGAAGGCATCTACATTAACACTGAACAAGTTTGTCCACTTCCCGATTTAATAAAATTTTGTAGAAATAAATTAAGAATTTTTATTGATGAATCTGTATCTTTTGGAACACTCGGAAAAAATGGAAAAGGAGTAACTAAGCATTTTGGTGTTCCTAGACATGAAGTCAATCTAATAATGGGTAAATGTATATGATTAAATTTTTTTGTCTTTAAATGAAACATTAATAATTAAAAATATTTTTAGAATATCTTGAATGGGCGATAAACTCAATTGGCGGTTTCTGTGCTGGTTCATCATTTATTATTGAACATCAACGGCTTTCTGGACTTGGTTATAGTTTTCTGCATCACTTCCTCCACTTTTAACTGCTGCAGCTATTACATCTCTAGATATCATTGAAGAAGATCCAAGCATTATTGATAAATTAAAAAATAACTGCTTCACTTTTCAAACTAGATTGAGTGAACTACCGCATTACCTGTGAAACATTCATATCTAAGAAAACAATATGACCGATCTGAGGAGCAAGAATTATTATTGAAAATATCCAAAAAGTGTATAGAAAATAATTTAGCAGTGATTCAACCTGCTTATTTGGATACTGAAAAGAAATTGCCACGCCTAAGTCTACGACTGTGTATTTCAAGTATTCTTGATACAGAAGATATTGGATTTTGCTATAGAAGTATTAGAACAATGTTCAAATGATGTTTTTTCCAGATACTAAATGATTATTAATATATTGAGTGAAAATAAAGCTATGGGATTTTAGAAATGATTAACCTAAAATGAATTGGGAAGAAAATAAGAATAAATTTTTTTTAATCTTCATCATAACATAAACTTTCTATTAAAAAAGGTTTTTAATAGTACATCTTAGACGCATAATAGTTTAATTTTATCAATCAAATTAATTATTCAATAAGAATGTTCAAGATCAATGTTACTTCCACAATCATATGCGCTGGTTATATTATTAATTACTACATTAAGTTCTTGTTCTTCTACAATGACTTAATCATTGATAGGTGAATCATTCATCTTTTCTATTAAGGATTCCATTGTAACACAATTTTATAAATACAATCATAATAATTATTTGAATTTAGACCCACAAAACTAAACATTACTCTAATTGCTGTGGAAGTGCATTGTCGATAAATATTAAGTTATGACATCAGTTGTATCGCATACAAAACGAGTTAGAATTTTGTATGAAACCATTTTAAGACTACATCGTGGAATACCAACTGAAATTCAATCTCTAGGGAATAATTATGTTCGTGATAAATTTCGTAGGCATAATGAATTAGAAGCTAACATTTTTATGAATAAGTGGACGGTAAGATTGTTATATAAAATATGTCATCTACCATTAAGATTAATTATTTTTATTTTATAGGATTATGCAATATCTTTAGCAGAACAATTAAGCTTAAAAGGACCGATTTCTGCAAAACCTTTAGGCAAAAATCTTCCCACGAAAACTCTAGATGAGTTAAAAGATGAATAAGTTCATCAATTATATGAGCTGATGTTTGCAGCAACTGGTAAATTGAAAGATGAAGAACATTAAAATAAAAAATAAACAAGTAACAAGTAATAAACATTTTCTCAATACATGAATGCATTAATGATGTTACATTGGAGAAATTCAGCAAGTGCTATTCTAGCAGCTAGTTTTAAACATAATAAGTAAGAATTGTTATTCAAAGATATTTTAAGAATAGATCAAAACGAATGTAATCAACTATTAATTGCATTCGTTATTGACTTATCAATATCTACGTCTCCATTTATTTCATTAGAAATGAAACATTGATTCTTTGAGGTGTTAATATCCTTATGAACAACTCACGTATTTTTCATTATTAAATTAAACAACTTTGATTTCGAAAAAGAGATGAAACACATTTGTATAGATTATAAATTATTATGAGTTTTATTCAACAATTA